ACCTAAAAGGGACGCTTTTTGGACGCCATAGACATTTCTCATTTTCCAGTCAGAAAGAACAGTAAAAATGCAGGCAGGGCACAGGACAAAGCAGTAGGGACAAAATGTATGTGAAAATGGTTTGATACAGTTATGTTATACTATGAGATTTTAGTGTATGTAATTTTTTAAAATTTTTTAAATTTCCCGCCGGTTCCATCCCTCGTACGTCCCAACGCTCGCAGGGACCGGAACCTGGAAGACGGATGCTGGCATCGGCAAGAGGAGATGGCCCGGGGATGCTGCAGGGAGGACATCACAGGAGCGAAGTACAAGGTAAGTGCAAGAGGGATCCCAGAGCACCGCTGCAGGGTAATCCAAAGTGTAGCTCGGGGTTACCGCATTTGGTACTGAAAGTAAACCCGGAGCTATGCTCGGGCATACCGCCAGGGAGGTTAAGCATGAAATAAAAACAAGCGCTTCTTTTGACTTTTGTACAGTTAACCTTCAGCACTGTAAAGTATGTGAGGTAAAGGTCATACATCACATGGTTGTCTGATGTTGTAGACAGTACAAAAGAACAACTTCGCAGCAACAGCAAACAGATGTTGGGCAGAAACAGCAAAAAGGGTAAATAACCAATGGAAACGGTACACCGTTCCAAAGAGGCAGCTATCAAGAGTGATGTTATGTCTAAAAAGCTTTTAGTAAAGGCAAACAAAATAGAGTTCCATACTGACCTTTTGGTGGACCATCTCAAGATTTTTATTTTGAAGACAAAAATACATTTACCCATGTGCTCATACATTAGATTTAGTCCTTCTACACACTAGAATTATTTAATCATGTTTATTGCTGTTGCTGACCACCTTCTGAAAATGCTATAAAGAAAGTGTCACCACACTCTGGGCTGCAGTAACCCTTCTTGCCTATAAAGCTGAACTCCAAGATAAGCAAATATTATCCAAATACAAGGAGGCATGTGTATGCTTTACTTGGATCTTGGTGTCCATTGTGCATTTCTTCTAGATCTGAGAAGTAAACCAGTTTCAAACTTAGCCTACATGCAGACGTTTCCCGAATTAAGACCAGCCGCTGTTGCCCTTTCCTCATGCAGGATGACTGGTATTGTATCCACCCCTTACTCTAGTTTTCTAAAGTCAGCCTGTAGTAGGTGGACCTGCTTGGTCCCTTCCACAGCTTTGCCCTCTGCACAGACTATATGCAGCACAGTGATGACATAGCTACTTTTACAAGGAAATATCTGTGTTTGGAAAGGCATCTGGTGCACACAAAGTAGATTTACAGCCTGTGTCACTACTGAGGAATATTTAAGTGAATGTTTTTGTTCCCCAATTTTAGCTTTAAAGTGATTAAAAAAGGCTTAGTTTTTCCTTTTATAAAACAAAACATACAGTGGGGATCGAAAGTTTGGGCACCCCAGCTAAAAATTTGTATTAAATGTGCATAAAGAAGCCAAGGAAAGATGGAAAAATCTCCAAAAAGGCATCAAATTACAGATTAGACATTCTTATAATATGTCAACAAAAGTTAGGTTTTATTTCCATCATTTACACTTTAAAAATAACAGAACACAAAAAAATGGCGTCTGCAAAAGTTTGGGCACCCTGCAGAATTTATAGCATGCACTGTCCCCTTTGCCAAGCTGAGACCTGCCAGTGTCATGGATTGTTCTCAATCATCGTCTGGGAAGACCAGGTTATGTCAATCTCAAAGGTTTTAAATGCCCAGACTCATCTGACCTTGCCCCAACAATCAGCACCATGGGTTCTTCTAAGCAGTTGTCTAGAAAACTGAAACTGAAAAAAGTTGACGCTCACAAAGCTTGAGAAGGCTATAAGAAGATAGCAAAGCGTTTTCAGATGTCAATATCCTCTGTTCGGAATGTAAATTAAGAAATGGCAGTCATCAGGAACAGTGGAAGTTAAAGCAAGATCTGGAAGACCAAGAAAAATAGCAGACAGAACAGCTCGCAGGATTGTGAGAAAAACAATTCAAAACCCACATTTGACTGCACGATCCCTCCAGAAAGATCTGGCAGACACTGGAGTTGTGGTACACTATTCCACTATAAAGAGATACTTGTACAAATATGGTCTTCATGGAAGAGTCATCAGAAGAAAACCTCTTCTACGTCCTCACCACAAAAATCATCGTTTGAACTTTGCAAATGAACATATAGACAAGCCTGATGCATTTTGGAAACAAGTTCTGTGGACCGATGAGGTTAAAATTGAACTTTTTGGCCGGAATGAGCAAAGGTACGTTTGGAGAAGAAGGGGCACAGAATTTAATGAAAAGAACCTCTGTCCAACTGTTAAGCATGGGGTTGGATCAATCATGCTTTGGGGTTGTGTTGCAGCCAGTGGCACAGGGAACATCTCACGAGTAGAAGGAAAAATGGATTCAATAAAATTTCAGCAAATTTTGGATGGTAACTTGATGCCATCTGTGAAAAAGCTGAAGTTAAAAAGAGGATGGCTTCTACAAATGGATAATGATCCTAAAACACACCTCGAAATCCACAGGGATTACATCAAGAGGTGTAAACTGAAGGTTTTGCCATGGCCTTCACAATCTCCTGACCTCAACATAATTGAAAATCTATGGATAGACCTTAAAAGAGCAGTGCGTGACAGACAGCCCAGAAATCTCAAAGAACTGGAAGACTTTTGTAAGGAAGAATGGGCAAAGATACCTCAAACAAGAATTGAAAGACTCTTGGCTGGCTACAAAAAGCGTTTACAAGCTGTGATACTTGCCAAAGGGGGCAGTACAAGATATTAACTCTGCAGGGTGCCCAAACTTTTGCAGACACAATTTTTTGTTTTCTGTTATTTTGAAAGTGTAAATGATGGAAATAAAATCTAACTTTTGTTGACATATTATAAGAATGTCTAATCGGTAATTTGATGCCTTTTGGAGATTTTTCCATCTTTCCTTGGCTTCTTTATGCACATTAATACAAATTTTTAGCTGGGGTGCCCAAACTTTCAATCCCCACTGTACATACTTACCTGCTCTGTGCAATGGTTTTGCACACAGCAGGCCCGATCCTCTTCTTCTGGGGTCCCCCATCAACACTCCTGGTCCCTTTCTCCTGTCGAGTACCCCATAGCAAACCACTTGCTCCCAAGCCACCTCTGTGTGTCCAAAAGACACAGAGCGTTGCTCAGCCCCACCCCCTGCTCCCTCCTCACTGGCTGTGATTGATAGCAACAAGAGTCAGTGGCTCCCACTGCGGAGTCTGAGCCAGTGAAGAGGGAGAGAGCCTCTACCTTTAAAAACAGCAGTAGGGGTCAACTGTGGTGTTTTTTGCTGAAAAGTACATTTTAAAAATGTCCAAGATGGACGCCGGCACATGGAGTAACAAAACCTCAGGGAAAAGGTAGGACCTTGACACTGCGGACATACTACAGAAGATTGTCAGCAGGGATTGATGTTTCACCTATACCTGGAGAAGAGCTTGAGTTGGATTATTGAAATTTGAAAAGCGTTTCTGGAAGGCTGTGGTACCTGGAGGATCTGTGAGAGGGATCCATTATTGCTCTTTGATCCGCAAGGGTCGAAGGGATGAGGTGAGAGGCTAATCCAGAAGGTGGTTGGATTCACAAGCTCTATCTACACTCAGATACCTGCACGATTTGGTTCACCTGTGGTCACTTTGCAGTATTATTGGAAACACCGTTATCATTTTTGTTCACCTTCAACATTTAATTGGACTTTCTGTGCGTTTAATAAGCAATTATTTCACTTCACATTTTTTTTTTTCACCTTCAACATTTATAGATTTGTTTTTCTGTGCGTTTAATAAGCTATTATTTCACTTCACATTTGCACGTGTGATATAACTATATGTATGTGTAATTTATGCACATGCGTATAGATTTAAGTTTGTGCTTTTATAATTTTTGGGGTGTTTGATGTGATAATTTTTGTTATCATTAAGCACTTATATATTTATTTACATAATATTGTCACTATATTGATTTATATTATCGGATTCCACATTCACTTTAATTTTGAATGTAGCGCAGCATTTATATGGTTTATATTTAAGAGTCAGTGGCTCCCACTGCGGAGTCTGAGCCAGTGAAGAGGGAGAGAGCCTCTACCTTTAAAAACAGCAGTAGGGGTCAACTGTGGTGTTTTTTGCTGAAAAGTACATTTTAAAAAAGACTTGCGCTCTTCAGCATGAAAACCATTTAGAGGTGGCCCTTTCTATCATACAGTAAACAAGAAATCTTACTGCAGCCTACAGCACAGCAATTCATATATAGCTTCCTGTGGATTCTGAGAAGACTAGTTTCCTGGCTGTCATGTTTATGCAATATGTTCTAGCCATCGGGCAGCTACTCAATTTTAGAAGTGTGCCACATCTAAAATTAGAACTCCTGTATACTTGTTACTCAAAGTATTGAACACAGTATTAAAATGGCAAGCAATTTGAGAAGGAGAGGTTAGAAGTGTAGCCTAAATATTTTTAATACATGTGTCCTATAAAGAAAACCTGTCATGAGAGAAACACAAAAGGTTTGCCTTGCTAGCCTCTTCTTCGAATGCCGTATAGCTGCAATACTTTCCCCCAGCATACTTGTTCTAGGTTATCACAAGCACTGAACCCAGTGGCCAGAACAACAGGCAAGTAATATTTTAAAGAGGAGGCCAGCAATGGCAAACCCATATTTCTCTCATGACAGCTCTTCTCCAAAAAACACCTTTTGGCACCAGTCTCAGAGAGCTGAAAAAAGATCTTAAAAATGCTAGCCAAAACAAGCTTATAAGTTGACTTAATATAAATCAGCACAACTTGCTTGCTAAACAAAAGCCAACCGAAAGCTGCAAAAAAAAAAAAAAAAAAAAAAAAAAAAAAAAAAAAAACTTGTTTAAAGCCACAGTCCATTTACTTTTCAGAGGGTGAAACACTACAAAAGATATATACAATATGCTAATCCTGCTAGTCCATTATCTATAAACAGCATCAGCTTGTGCTTTATCACTTACCAGCGTAAAGATAGACGTTTGAGGTATTCCGGTCCAGAATTGCAGACAGAACAAATAAATGTATAAAATCTGGAAGGAAAATTCAGTAACAGACAGAGCTCAGTCTGTATCCTTAATACTGAAAACTTATTTCTACAGGTCATTTAATAAGAAAAAAAAAAAAAAAAAAAAAATCAAACAGTTTGCAGAAAAAGAAAAAAAAAAAACAAAAAAAATAATTGAAGCAGAGAGTACCTTAAAATTTTACTTTTAGATTTAAATTTAGGACAATGAGTGCAAACAAACATTTTTACACAGGTCTGTTCTAGTTACAGAATATGCACACATCAGTGCAATGTACTCACAGTCCTCACCTGTCACCAAAAAGCATAGGTTTCTGCAAGCATTGCACACAGGCCTCATGAAACCACTGCTTGCATTTGCAGCACTGAAGCATCTTTAAGTACCATCTAGAAACAAAAGAAAAATATGAACAGAATGCATAAAAAAAATAAAATAAAAACCCTTATATAGTAGTTTTGAAAGTGGTTAAAACTGTTTAGAACCTTCCCCAAGTTTGCAATTTTTAAACAGACTTAAAGTGAATCTAAAGCCAAAACGTTTAATTTTTGTTAGAATGGTGAGTGGTTAAAAACCATTAACTTTGCTTTGTTATACTGTATTTGCTCTGCACACCCAATTTTCTTGTTGCTCATGAGCTTATAATACTGCAAGATTGTATTTTTCTTTAACACCTGCATGTGCTAATCTCCGATATCGTTTTGTTCCAAGCTTGCTTTATTTGGAAAAATAAATAAATAAAAAAAATTGCTGTCTCCTTGTTAGTCCTCATGCACATTGGTTGTTTTTCAGCTGCTCTTAGGGGCATCTGTCTTTTTTTTGCTTCCAAACGCCCCTGCATGTTAGCCTATATGTCCATGCATACATAGGCTTTTAGAGGAGTTTAGAAGCAGGAAGTTTATGAGCAGCGGCATTTTGAGAAAATGCACCTAAATACTTATTGCTAAGCGTGTTTAGTGTTAATTTCAATGGCCACAATAAATGATTATTCTGGCCAATGAAATAGACACCCAAGTACTTGACATGCCTAAATGTGTTACACATGTTTAAAATTGTCTGGCAATTTTTCCTGCCAAAATGCTGCTGGCAGGAAGAAAGGCTTCTAGAAGAGTTGGGTGATACCCTCTTGATCTGTTCTGCTGATCTATTCTGCTGAGCAAGTTGGAAAGAACTTTCTGTCTAAAGGCATTTGCCTCACTTTGACAATTTCCTGTTATGTCTACAGAACAGAAAGTAAAGAATCTCCCGAATGGCACATAGAAGAAAAAGATTGACCAGAGTTTTTGCCATCCCCATTCAAAGTAAAAAGAAATGTTTTGACTTTAGTTATACTTTAAAATACACAATATAGTTTCATGCAAACTTCCTTACTGTCCTCTACCCCAAATGACCCTAGTTACGTCTCAGAAAACAAGCCTGTGATCAAATCTAGATGAGAAACAAAGTTCCACATTCTGGTAGTATCACATCCTTCAGCAAGTATTGTTGCACCGACAATACATCTTGCTCAGCTCCAACTGAACGACTACCAAAACGTTTCACGCTTCCAGGCTTCATCTGAGATACAACTAAACCTGGAAGAGTGAAATACATTAAGGGGGCAATCCTTCAGGTGGAGCAAAACAAGATTAACGGTTTGTGCTGTAAACCTTTTTGAAGAAGGCGATACTATTCGTATGTGGCCGTTTGTTCATCATCTATTGCTTATAGAGAGCGTGAAGAGGCTCCAGGGACCAGCACGCATCGCATCCACAACAAAAGGAGACAGTTTGAACTTCTGGAAGCAATGAGATTCAGACAAATATCAGTGCTCAAATCTGCTACAAAATAATGTTTAATGAGCTGATCTATAGGTCTAAAATAGCCAGTATAGAATATGTCAAGCATACAGCAAGAATAAAAAAAATAAATGCCATCTTATACTCATTAGAAACAGCAGCTATGTTTTACTCACTCTCCTGGGCCTCCACAGTAGCAGTAACATTGCTGAACATTTGTCTTGTGACCTACATCCCATTCTAACTCGTCCAAATTGTATGGCAGAGACTGCTTCATGACCTGCAGGGCTTTAGCATTGGGTCCTTTTTTCAATGCTCCTCCCCTCTATTAAGAAGAAGAAAAAAAAAAAAAAAAAAGTGAACGTATCAGTGATCATTGTAGTTATTATTATTATACAGGATTTATATAGCGCCAACAGTTTGCTCAGCGCTTTACAATATAAGTTTATCACCTTCAGAAAAACAGAAACATCTGTCCATATTAAAGCCTTCAGCTGACTGACAGGAGGTTTTCACAATGGAAGCCTCGGGCTAAGTATCTACTATCGCTTAAACAACTGTTCATCTATCTTTGGCATTACTTAGTCTGGCAGAGACCCACTGGTTTTGGCAGAGCTGTTAAACCAGCTGATCTTCAGGATTCTGAATGGGAAAATACCCACCAAGCAGCTAGGGACATGAAACCAGATGATCAGAATTCTGAATAGGAAAATACCAACCAAGTAGCAGGGGACAGGAGGAGAGGTATTTTACTTTCTCTGTGAAAGTGGAAAACATCTAGGATTTAAATTCACTTTTTTTTTTTCATAAAGATGAAAAAAAAAAAAAAAAAAAATTCAAAAACTATCAAACGAGCTACACGCTTGATCCTGAATTTTTGCAGACTTCTCAAGTAACTTTATTATAAAGTTTATTTAAAGTACTGACTACCATATGCTGGATATTTAAAATTACTGACAGCCAACAAATATTCAGCATGGCAGTACGTTTTCATCACTTTCCTTTGCTGCAGTGTAGTCTATGAAAAACAGATCCTGAGGGAAAACTATAAATAGTTTTAGGGCAATGTTAAATTTTGTTTTACAAACATTACAGACATTCCCCAAAAGCTTGTCCTCAAAATTGTATGTTAGTGAAAATAAAAAAAAAAGTATCACGGACAGTACTCAATTGTTTCTGTTTTACAAACATGAAATACAGAGAACACAAATGACAAGGATTTCACAGAGCACTATGGGCTTTCTAGAGAGATATCACAGCAGAAGTCTCATTTCCTTTCTGATGCTCTGGCACGAATACTTAGTAAGTGTAAAATATATAGACACAGCCCCAATAAATTGTATATAAAGCTGCAAACCTAACCAAAGAAAAAGGTAAGTGACAAAAAATATATAAAGGAATGCGCTAAATACCAAAATCACATGAAAATGCAGATGCATAAATAAAAAAAATATTTTATAAATGTCCGTAATTCATATAGAAGTCCAAACACCAATATAAGTGATTAAAAAAATCTCTTAAACAAGAAAAAACACTGTGTAGCAAAATCCACCACCGAATAAAATGGGTAAACTCACCAGAGCTATTTGCTGATCAAATTATAAATCAGCAAAAATAGCAATTGCTCTGGGAGCGATGATCTGTTGGAGTATCCAGGAGCAATAGACTGCAATCAGCCAAATCAGCACACATGGAACAGCCTTAACTGCAAGTGGTCATCATGCCTTCATAACTTTGGAAATGCTCGGGGAATCAAAGAAGAGCATCATGGTGCAGTATATTAAAACAAAGATAATTTTTATTGTAGCCTTAAATATGCACTCACAAGAAAGGTGTCCAACCGACACCAGCAATATCAGTCTCAAAAAGCTAAAGCAGGGACGAGCCTCGCTCACAGCCGACAGTCTCGAGGAGCGTCCTGACGTCCCATCCACTAAGCACCGCCCTACGCGTTTCATCATCCGACGTCTTCAAGGGCCGCCCCTTGAAGACGTCGCTCCCAGAGCAATTGCTATTTTTGCTGATTTATAATTTGATCAGCAAATAGCTCTAATGAGTTTACCCATTTCATTCAGTGGTGGATTTTGCTACACAATGTTTTTTCTTGTTTAAGAAATTTTTTAATCACTTATATTGGTGTTTTGACTTTTATATGAATTACGGACATTTATAAATACATTTTTTATTTTATGTATTTATCTGCATTTTCATGTGATTTGGTATTTAGCGCATTCCTTTATATATTTTTTAATACCTAGTAAGGGCTTTGTTAGACAAGCGGTATTGGAGAAGCTTGAAGGTGTTCAGAAAGTACTATTGCAGATTTCTGATGTCTGTTTTTTGTTATTTATTTTTTTTAATGGCGGAACAAAATTTCTTGCTCTCTCTATGCTCACATATGGCAAGAATTCAACTTCTTACCAAATACAATACTGTTAATGTGTACTCGGTCAGTTTGTATCTATGGTTATCAAAGATTACCTTTGTAGTAGTTGCAAATACACACTGCCGGCATAACCATTTCTCATCACTATCAATCACAGTGGAGTCAATCTTTGGTGTGTGGCACAGCTGGTGATATCCTACAAACACAAGAAAAACAAAACATCTTAAATAATATTTACTTATCTTACATAAAAAGGACAGACTGGTACAAATTTGGGAAATGCAGTGACCAAAATAATTGTAAGAATATACCAACCTTGGCCACACTTGTCACAAATAACTATCTCATTTGGTGCTTCAGAATACTCCTCCTGACATATTGAACAAACCATTTCCCCACTGTCAGAGGCTCCTGAAATTAACAGGCAAGAACAAGGGCTTTTAAAACATGAAAAATTAAAAAAAAAAAAAAAAAAAACCCTGCAACGCCATCCACCTACCTGTTCATCTTGGGCAATCAGAAAAAGCCTTGTATTAAAACGAAATAAATAAATACAAGGCTTCTCTTAAATGGCAGAGATGCGGTACAAGTAACACCATATCCAGCAGTAGAAGAAGTCGTTGGTACGGTTGCCGGAACACAGCGTCACAAGCTACCACAGTATATACCAGCCTAAGCAGCAGTCAGTCCATTCTGGCATGCAAATAATTTGTATGGTCCAAACTGACCTAAACAAATTTAAAGTGGTATGCAACCTGGAGTTCTCTTAAAATGATTCTAAAAGTTGTTTTTTTAAACAAAAACATGTCATACTTACCTGCTCTGTGTAATGGTTTTGCACAGAGGAACCCTGATGCTCTCTTCTCGGGTCCCCTGCTGGTCCTCCCGGCACCTCCCTCTAGCCAAGTGCCCATCACAGTGAGATGCTGGCTATAGGGGCACTTGAGCATGTTCACTCACTAGCAGCCTCCTCACTGGCTGTGACTGACAACAGCGGAAGCCAATGCCATCACTAATGAGACGTCAGAGCGCCTCAGATCTCATGTACATAGCTGGATTAAGATCAGGCGAGTACAAGAGAAGCTGGGGGGGTTTGAAGCTGCACTTGCATGTTTTTTTTTACCTTCATGCATAGAAGGGTAAACAACCTTCTGCCTTTTCAGCCACTAAGATCTTACAAGCACAATTTAAACAAAAAGAGGGACAGTAGCAAGACTAGGAAATGAAAGAAAGCTAAAGTTCAACTGTCAGACATGGTTGCTGTGGCTGCAGAGGACCCATCCTAGTTCCAAAATAAAAGGCATATCGCCTTTCAAGCAATACATCTGCCAGACCCTGTTCATCCTCTGACAGGTTTAAGACCAGAAGGGCCTTAACCGGATAACTTGCCCTTAACCACTTGCCGTCCGGCCACTGTATAAATGGCCGGACGGTGGCACTCCAGGGGCAGGTTGCCGTTCATAAACAGCACCCGCCATTATAAACTGTACGCGCTCCCTAAGAGCGTGCAGCACCGCGATGTGGTGCCCACTGTGTCCTCAGGACACAGTGGAACACCGATCGTCGTACGGGACCTCTGTGCAAGGTCCAATCAGTGATCACATGCAGAGTAGTAAAGCAAGATGTCACTTCTGACATCATTGCTTACTAGCTGTGACAAGCTGTGGCCAATCACAGCTCATACAGTAGTTCTCAATGGCTGCAAGAATGCAGCCAGAGAGAAGGAGAAATGATTGCTTTTACAGCCTTTATGGGTGTAAAAGCAAATCAGTATAAAAAAAAAAAAATCATCATCACCACCCCCAAGTAGTACAGTGTCACCATGGTGACACTGTACTGCTAGGGTGACAGTATGAAGAAAAAATAAATAAATAAAATGAAAATGTGAAAAAAAAAAAAAAAATTATAATTTTTGGTAATAAACTAATTTGGGTTATTTTTTTTTACTAAAAACATACCTAAATAAATTTTGGCCAAGATTTATGATGAAATATTATTTATTTGCAAAATGTTATAAGAAAAACACTTATTTATATAGCAAAAAAAAAAAAATCCCAGTGGTGAATAAATACCACCAAAATTAAGCTTTAATCGGTCTCAAAAAAATGCTAAAAAATTAATATGGGTACAGTGTTGCATGAGCACGCATTTCTCAAAGTGTGATAGCGCTGAAAGGCTGGACAAGAAGGGGGTAAAAGTGTCCGAACTGGAAGTGGTTAAAACATCTGTCTCTGGCCCTTTTCTTCTGCCTCTTCTCTCCCCACCCCTCACACTTAATGGATATTCCTGTCATTTTGACAAGTCAGGAATTGCTGGCAAGTTGGAGGGAGAGAGTTTCTAAGTAAATACAGCATCTAATGGATGTTGCTTTCAGAAACAAAAAACTTACAGGCATGGGATAGGGCAATGCAAAGCAACATTGTTAATGGTTTGTATCTACTTGGTTTCATTCCACCTGCAGATCAAAAGGGATGAGTTCTGAGTTGTATATGAGATCAATTAGGCCCCTTTCATCCACATTGGATGGTTTTGTGAGCAGCAGTTAGCAGGCTATTAGGGGACTATGTACGGCCTCTCTTGCACTCGTTTGAGGGATTCACACCAAAATTATTCTTCTCCATGTCGCAACAATGTTCGTTAGCTGCGGCTGCAGAACATCCAGTCACTTTTATGGGGCATGTTAGCAGGCGGTATCACCTGCTGAAAGCGAAATACACCATTTTTTTTGCCACACTGCAATATTAAAACTCAAAGTTGCGACAAGGCGTATGAGCCATCAAGCGGCCAAAATGAAATAAACACACCTCATCCCAGACTGGTTTTGACAATGCCCATGTAATAGGGGCGCTATATTTAAAAAAAAAAAAAAAAAAAAAAAAAAAAAAAAAAAAAAGTGTTCCTATTTACCGGTAACTCCTTATTAACCCTTTGTTTACCCTATTGAGCTTTCTTCTGCTTCTCCCAATACTCATTTTATCTGTGCTTTTTTTTTTTTTTTAATTTCCATTTCTCTAACCATGAATACGTGAACTATTTTTGGTCCCCCCACACAAAAAAAAAAAAAAAAAAAAAAAAAAACACAATACCACACAAAAGTTGAAAAACAAAAACAACCCCCAAAACATTAAATTTTATTTGTAATCAACTTTTCAGTGCTTTGTACCAGAATCATAGCTTTTGTGTCATTTTAAAAAGCGCAATTTTTTTTTTCTTAAACTGAGAAAAGTGGGGAAAAGTTTAGTAAAATTTTTTGGTCTATGGATTTCATAAAAAAAAAATATATATATATTTTTTGCAAGAAAATATCTCCAAAAAGAGAGCCTTGTTAGTCCTAAACAAAACAAAAAAAACAAAAAAAAAAAAAAAAACACATATGGATTACAAGTTTAAAGTGTTACTAAACCCACAACAGTAAAATCAGTCTGTATATGTAGTAAAGCATGCTTGTTATACTCACTGGGGAACCTAAGGGGTTAATCCTCTGCATTGTGGAAAAAGGCTGTTTGATCCTTTCTTCTCTGCCCCTCTTGTTTAAAATGACCACCTGATACAGACTGAATCTGTAGTCACATGCACATGCTCAGTTTGGCGTGTATTGCTAGAAAGGTTTTTTTCCCCCCTTGGAAGAGTGCATGTGATCAGCACAGGGCCAATCAGCATTGTTCAGACAGAGGGTCAAGACTTTCACATCCTCCTAGAGCAGAAAGAAAACGCCTCCTACAAGCTTTAACTAGTACTCTGCTGAAGTCACAAGACTGCTCTAACTGCTGCTGAGAAAAAGGTATTTAGCACTTTATATTTACTAAAATAATTGCATTTCCATGTTTTATGTACTGTGGGAGAGCAGATATAGTGAATGCAGGGTCCTGGGTTTGGTACCACTTTAAGACTTGTTGTCAAAGTCTCCATACTTACCTGTCCAAACGGTCCTGTACCGATCCCTTGGGGCTCTGCATTGGGGTTTTTTTTTGTGTACTTTTTTTTTTACACAAAAATAGTTCAAATAGTAGATGACGTCACTCCTGCGCATGTGCAGGAGGCCCTCATCCCAGCACTTGGGAGACTGGAGAAAATGGCGAGTAGGCAGGTGGATTTTATTGCAGAAGATAGTGCATGTCTCTTTGGCAATAAAAGCCTGCCTACAATTTTTTTTTTGTTAACAAAGGGACTTTTGTTCCGCTTTAAATAACAAGTTATTACTAAATCATTTGGCCCACAGCAGAAATGTAAAAATTACTCTTTTCTATGGATGGTGTAGAGGTGTGAGAGCTGAAGTGGTTAATTAATAAGCCCCTCCCAGGGAGAAATGCTTCAGTGAAGGTTCTGGTGGACAGCATTACTTCTAATCCAGTTTTTCCTTGGAATAAGAAAAAAGATTTGGCAGCAACGTGGCTTCTTTCTTTTTCGGGTTAAACAAATGGGGGTTAGATATGTACAAGGGAAATTTGGCAGCAGTAGCTGTATTGTAGATAACAGTAGAATGACAGAAGTCAATGATAATCAATACATCTTACTAAGCTTACCCGTTTGAATGTCCTTCCAAAGTACCCACGATTTAGAGCCGTCTTCAAATAATATAAAACAGCTCTGCTGAATGTTATCTATCTGTAATAGAAATAAAGCATTATTTTTGCATACAAAACAATTAACTTACAACAGGCACAAAAAAACACCACTATGAAGCTGTTGCAATCAAGACTGCGTTCTGTAGGAATCATTTGAAAATTTCTGTTTTTCTAGCTGGTACATATTGATTAAATGGTTTAGGTTTAACCCACCTGTCCAAATGCAAAAATTCCTCTCTTTATAAAACTGCAAATGAAGAGTGGTTACTTCTGTACAGCAAACAATCCATTTTAGCAATTGCCAGTACAGTAATTTTCAGCAATGCCAAATGGAGTCTGATCATACAGTTGGAGCTCCTACACACCTTTGTGTTTTTGTGGGTTTCCCCCATAAATTTATTTTACAAAAGGTTGTAATAAGGTTTAGTAAAAATAAATACAAAGATACAGTATGCATCAAGAAAAAGAATGAAAAACGTACAGGTAGTACATACACGACACATTGAGTAGGCAGATTCCACATATGACCCGAAATATACAAACAAGTGCTTTTTTTTGGTCAACTGTGTCATGCAGACATAGCGTTTCATTTTCCATTTAAATGTCATCGAACGATATATCCCTTTGTATGTATTGGAACAAATATGCAAGATATATATGAGGCAGGATTTGCTAACAGATGGGAGCTCTGGGTTACACAGAGCGATGAACAGGGAAGGTCATGATCCACTATCCCTGTCCCAAGACAAAAAAGGTCAGGGGAGGTCAGTCAGAGAGAACCACTATCCCTGTAATTTCAACTAAAAAACAAATAGTAATGCAGCATATGCATTACCCAGCATTTTTGTGTTGCATTGAAATGTTTATGATGCATGTTGATGTGAAATGCAAAGATTGCAACACAAAAAAAAACTTGAAAAACGTGTCAAGCTTATGGGAACTATGGGTTGCAACTAGGAATATAAATACTAAGGCTGCCATAGCTGCCCTTCTCCTGAACATGCTAGTTGACCAGCTGTCGCTGGTTTTAGTATTTTCTGATTTACTGACCCAGTAGAAGCATGTAGCAAGTAAAGCCACAACCACTGATCTCTGCACCGGTTCCTGATGTAGGATTCCAAGTACTGAAGATCAACATGGTGGTACCCAGCATTTTGTGTTGCATTGAAAATGTTTATGATGCAGTTGATGTGAAATGCAAAGATTGCAACACAAAAAAACAGGAAAAAAACAAAAACGTGTCAAGCTTATGGGACTATACTAGGAATATAAATACTAAGGCTGCCATAGCTGCCCTTCTGAAAGTCATAGCCACAACCCACTGATCTCTGCACCTGGTATCCTGATGAAGGATTTCCAAGTTACTGAAGATTCAACATGGTGGTCACTAGCACTTTCAATAGTTTTCCAAAGTGTCCTGGGAGCTCAGACATGGAAGGTGTTCAGCCTGCAGCTCTGCCTACACCATTTCAGCATCTCTCTCAGTGCAAGAGCAAGCTTAAAATATCTGTAGTTAAGGTATGCAAGTGCAGTGTTGGGATCAAGAGTTCCTAGCCCACCCAGGTGTCAAGAGTAGAAAATTGAATAACACGCGTTTTTAAGGTTGCGGAGGTACAAGCCTTAGAATTGCATGCGTCTGTGTATGGGTGTACCATTAATTTTTTTTTTTTACCCCACTTATATTTATTGCCAACACACAGAGGACCAATAGCCCCTATGTGATAGCATATTTACTTTGTCAAGTTCTCTTTATTAAGACATCCAATTAGACCCCTGATGTTTCCCATGCCCTCTTATGAAGCCAATAGAGCGCAGGTCACAATCAATTAGTTTCTTCCCCAGTCACTGCAGCCAGGGAAATAGACAGCAGACAGAATCCAGAAGTGATGAAATCCTCATGGCTTCTGGGTTCTTACCATCTGGGAGGAGATAATAGAACGGCAGTTCACTGGTTTCCCTCCCCCCTACCTAGCAACAACCACAATAACCGAGCGGAGCACTGGAAACATGACAGCCGGGGAAAGTACTGTGGGTCTGTGGAAGAGATGGGGCTTTCACCTGGAAACCGACAGTTGGCTTGTCACATTTACACCCAAATTACCTCACTGCCACTGATGTATGACAGCAAGAGGGTAAAGCAACTCCCCCCACCCCCAATCTCTTTTTTAAAAGCATTCTAAAAGAATTTGCTTTATTCATTCATTCACACCTCCATGATCATTTCCCATCTGACCATTGATAGCACATTTTTTTACCCTTGAGGCGTGCCATATTCTCCTTCATCCATCATGCAGAAGGCCAAGCCTATGCTATCAAAATTTCTGCACATCCTAGACCCACAAATGCATCATAATTCACAAGGATCTCAAAAGCGGTGACTAGTGAGCTGGTCATGTCATGCTACATATAAAAAAGGCAGTGTCATTACCTTTTTGATAGTTCCAAGATAAAATAATCCATCTGACCATCTTGCTAGGACATCTTGACCATCTTCAAATTTACAAACTTGTCTCTTGGGTTTCTGTCCATGCCGAATAGATGATTTTGTTAAAGACTCTGAGGCCTTCTTATTCTGCCGGAAAGGGGATCTTTTAAGGACCAGTGACTTGCCTGCAGCAGTTGCGTCTCTTAAAAAATAAAATAAAAAAAAAAAAAATAAATAAATAAAAAACCACAGCATTACCAAGAGCATCCCAAAATACATTTAAAAAGTACACAACTTCAAGTTGGAAAATAAAACATTTAGGCAGCCAAGTAACAAGTGAATTGAACATTTAGGAAAAGTGAATCGATTATAATGGGACGTTCTGCTACAGCAAATGAAAGGGCTTGGTAACAATGACATGCTAATCCCAGCATTACTGGCCATCTTGTTGGGACGTGTTTTTTTTTTTTCCTTTAATCTGATGTCTTGCGGAGCCATGCTCTTCCCCAAAAGTACCACTGAAAAGGATAAGTACACCTTTATTAAAATGTGTTACACCCATATTCAGGGTGCAACAGTTCCTAAAGCTCCTGTCGGCACCCTGAGCTGATCCCTCATTTTGACAGCGGGCAAGAGATCCACTCCCCACACTCGCTGTCACAATTCTAAAACAACGCAACTGTGCAGGGCTCCACCTACATTCAGAGAGTTCTATGCTGACCTCAACTCCCCCCCCCCCCCCCCCCCCCCCAAATCCCTGGTTCTGACAACTAGTGAGGGATCTTCTTCACCAGCTGTCACAATCTGAAAAAAAAATAAATAAATAATGCATTGGTCGTTCATTCACAGTATTCTGCAAATGGGAATACTACAAGTTCAGACATCCGCTTGTAGTTCTCAATAAGCTACCAGAGCGCCGTTAGGCACTCTAGGTGGTTCACGGAGCTTCCTGCCATTGTGTAACTGCCTGCCTGTATCGGAAGTACGGGCAGACAGCTACACAGTCTGCAGGACCATGGTATACACCAGTGATGAGCAGATGCTTTACAGACTCAAAAGAAAAAATAATAAAAAGGCATATTTTTTTTACCTGCAAATAAAATGTAATATATTTTTGTAAAGGTGAACTTATCCTTTAAAGTATAACTGAACATAGTTCTAAAGCCATAGCATTTACCTTAATGCAGGGAATGCATTAATGTAAAAAATACCCCAGTTACCATCCTCACCTTTATATACTTACCTAATCCAAAAGATAAAAAAAATGAAATCACAGCATTAAAAAAAAAAATAAAATAAAATAATATATCATCTATACCTGGGGTTAATTTACTAAAGCTGGAGTGCGCAAAATCAGGCTCACTTCTGCATAGAAACCAATCAGCTTCCAGGACACACACTTGCCAAAAGTATTGGGATGCCTGCCTTTACACGTACATGAACTTTAATGGCATCCCAGTCTTCGTCCATAAAGTTCAACATTGAGTTGGCCCACCCTTTGCAGCTATAACAGTACAGCGTCAACTCTTCGGGGAAGGCTGTCCACAAGTTTAGGAGTGTGTCTATGGGAATGTTTGACCATTCTTCCAAAAGTATATTGCCAAAAGTATTGGGATGCCTGCCTTTACATGCACACGAACTTTAATAGCATCCCAGTCTTAGTCTGTAGGGTTCAATATTGAGTTGGCCCACCCTTTGCAGCTATAACAGCTTCAACTCCTCTGGGAAGGCGGTCTACAAGGTTTAGGAGTGTGTCTATCTGTATATTTGACCATTCTTCCAGAAGCACATTGGTGAGGTCAGGCACGATGTCAGACGAGAAGGCCTGGCTTGCAGTCTCCGCTCTAATTCATCCCAAAGATGTTCTGTCAGGTTGAGATCGGGACTCTGTGCAGGCCAGTCAAGTTCCTCCACCCCAAAACCCGCTCATCCATGTCTTTATGGACATTGCTTTGTGCACTGGTGCGCAGTCATGTTGGAACAGGAAGGGGATATTCCCAAACTGTTCCCACAAAGTTGGGCGCATGAAATTGTCCAAAATGTCTTGGTGACACCTTAAGAGTTCCCTTCACTGGAACAAAAGGGCCAAGCCCAACACATGAAAAAACGACCCCACACCATAATCCCCCCTCCACCAAACTTTACACTTGGCACAATGCAGTCAGGAAAATACCAATCTCCTGGCAACCGCCAAACCCAGACATGTCCATCAGATTGCCAGACAGAGAAACGCAATTCGTCACTCCAGAGAACATGTCTCCACTGCTCTAGAGTCCAGTGGCGGTGTGCTTTACGCCACTGCATCCGACGCTTTGCATTGCACTTGGTGATGTAAGGCTTGGATGCAGCTGCTTGGCCATGGAAACCCATTTCATGAAACTCTCTATGCACGGTTGTTGTGCTAATCTGAAGGCCACACAAAGTTTTGAGCTCTTTAGCTATTGACTCTACAGAGTTACTTCTGCACACTGTGTGCTTCAGTATGCGCTGACCACACTCTGTCATTTTACATGGCCTACCATTTCATGGCTGAGTTGCTGTTCCCAGTTGCTTCCACTTTGTTATAATACTACTAACAGTTGCCCGTGGAATATTTAGTAGCAAGGAAATTTCACGAATGGACTTCTTGCACAGGTGGCAACCTATCACTGTACCAATCTTTGAAGTCACTGAACTCCTGAGAGCAACCCGTTCCTTCACACGTTTGTAGAAGCAGTCTGCATGACTAGGTGATTGATTTTATACACCTGTGGCCATGGAGATGATTGGAACACCTGAATCCAATGATTTGGAGGGGTGTCCCAACACATACACAGAACACTTTTTAATCAGAGTACAGCATGGAGTCAATTAATCTCCTAGGATATTGATCTGGTCAATTAAGCAGCATAGGGGGGTTTTAATCAGTTTCATCTGCTTTGGTGTTAAATCAATAAACAGATGAAATGAGATGACCCCCAAAACAAGAATGGTTTTTACAGGTGGAAGCCACTGACATTTTTTTCCCTACTCATCTTTTCTGACCGTTTTTCACTAGTTTTGCATTTGGCTAGGGTCATTGTCTCTACTAGTAGCATGAGGCAATACCTGGACCCTATAGAGGTTGTACAGGCAGTCCAACTCCTCCAGGATGGCACATCAATATGTGCCATTGCCAGAAGGTTTGCGGTGTCTCCCAACAGTCTCAAAAGCATGGAGATCCTAGGAGACAGATGGACAGGGCCGTAGAAGGTCCTTAACTCACCAGCAGGACCGGTATCTGCTCCTTTGTGCAAGGAGGAACAGGATGACACTGCCAGAGCCCTACAAAATGACCTCCAGCAGGCCACTGGTGTGAATGTCTGACCATGCAATCAGAAACAGACTTCATGAGGGTGTCCTGAGGGCCCAATGTCCTCTAGTGGGCCCTGTGCTCACTGCCCAGCACTGTCGAGCTCGATTGGAATTTGCCATTGAACGCCAGAATTGGCAGGTCCGCCACTAGCGTCCTATGCTTTTCACAGACGAGAGCAGGTTCACCCTGAGCACATGTGACAGATGTGAAAGGGTCTGGAGAACGTTATACTGCCTGTAACACCGTTCAGCATGACTGTTTTGGTGGTGGGTCAGTGATGGTCTGGGGAGGCATATCCAAGGAGGCACGCACAACCTCTACAGGATAGACAATGGCACCCTGACTGTAATTGGCTATTTGAATGAAATCATTGGACCCATTGTCAGACCCTACGCTGGTGCAACGAGTCCTGGGTTCCTCCTGGGGCATGACATTGCCCAGCCTCATGTGGCAAGAGTATGCAGGCAGTTCCTGGAGGATGAAGGAATTGGTACCACTGAATGTTTTGGTCACTGTCCAGGAGAGCTCTGTGATGCCCTGGTCCAGATCTGGGAGGAAATACCCCAGGACACCATCCGTTGTCTCATTAGGAGCATGCACAAACGTTGCCAGGCATGCATACAAGCACGTGGGGGCCATACAAAACAATTGAGTACCATTTTGGAGTTGCTGCAATGAAATTCAGCAAAATGGACTAGCCTGCTGCATCATTTTTTCACTTTGATTTTTGGGGTGTCTTTGATGGAAATGAAAAATAATCAACCTACAGAGGGACTGAATTCAAATGATGGGGCATCCTTACGTTCCTAACACATTACCCAGTCCATAAAAGTATAGATATCCAGCATGAGATTTTTTTCCCCCCCATTGAGAGCGGATGTGTTTACAAAGTGTTCCTCTAATTTTTTTTGAGCAGTGTACACACACACACACACACACACACACGTTTACTACCCTTTTCTTTTTCAGCACCACTGCGATATAAAAAAATGTAACTAAACATCTTAACTGTCCAAAACCATAAAGATTTCCTGCCTAAAATTGGTCTGTGATATTTGCATCAAATCATGTGGAGAGCCAACAAATGTGTAATTTATGCATGTGTGTTTTATTCTATTGTATTAGTTTCCTGTGTTTACAAAATTGTCACAAATTTAGAAGCAACTGTTATCTGCTATACTGCTGTCAGGAAAAGCACCTCCACCAGTAGAAGTTAAAACTGTATAAATGAAAGGAGAACTTGCCTTTGACAAAGGCAGAACAAAGCATGGCTCACAAAAACACAAAGAGGTGCTGCTGTCCACAAAGACATTTACCCTGTCTGACCCAATTAACTCTTTAGCTGCTAGCAGACAAAAAAAAAAAAAAAAGTTTGTGTAAAATGAGTTGGAATACAGACATATGCAATCAACCTCTTACATTTTGCACAACAAAGCAGATTTCACCCTGCTCATATAGATTAGATCAGAAATCATTGGGCCTCTCAGGTTAAATTTAAAAAAAAAAAAAAAAAAAAAAAAAAAAAAAAAAAAAAAAGAAGTGTATTTTTCCACAAACTGTGTTTCAAAAAACGCAGCACTAATACTATGTGACATACAAAAATTGTAAAGCCCACCAACTTATTCTCTAGGGCCTCTGCTTTAATCCTTTGGCAAAAATTGTAAAGCCCACCAACTTATTCTATAGGGCCTCTGCTTTAATCCTTTGCGCACTTCCCAGCCCTTTAAGGAGTTTGTGCTGCTGGGAGGCAGGGCAGGGTTTGCAGTCACAGCAGTCACATGATCAGAAAGGTCCTGATCGCAAGTACTGATCAGGACATTTCCGTAAAGTGCTAGTAAACGTGCCGGGAGAGCACAGGGCGCGTGCTCTT